ACAATAACTTCAGAGAACCTTTTCTTGGATTTTAATTAGTTTAACTGATACACTATCTTGAATACTAGTTATTTGTATTATACTTATCTATATTAATTATATTGAATATAAAGTTATCTGATATACCAAAATGAATATCTACATATCTAATATAATTATTTATATCAATATATTTAATTATATTTATATTATTTATATTAAACATATTCTTTTATATATATTAGATTATATTAATTATATTTAGTATGCAATAATATGAGATTAATAGGATTGTTTGTTAAAATTACAAAATTTTGTAAAAAACTGATAAAGTAATAACTAAATGTCAAAATAAAACATTAAATATCTAGTTAAAAGTTAAAATTATAGAAGGTTCTCTCAAAAATTTTATTATATATATTTCAAAAACTTTTCGACTAAATTTGTTTGGATCTTTTAAATTAATTATTTGACTTTTTTATCTTATAGTGTGAGTTCTATGTTTGAGAAACTTGATCTTGACAATATTTTAATTTTTTCGTTATCCGATGTATTTTTTATTATCCGTTTTATTTTTTATTATCCGATGTATTTTTTATAATTCGATATATTTTTAATTTTCCGATATATATTTTATTATCTATATTTTTAAACATGAAGAGGTGTTCAGAAAAAGAGTATGTCTAGAAATTAAACAAGGTATTAGGAGCATATTATAATAAATTCCCTCATCGTCCTTTGTTTTCTTTTAAATTATACCTGGTTTTTTAGAAACCTTATATCTTTTAATATCATTAAAAAAAACATATAAAAGTTAGACATATTTGAAACCAGAATTAAATTTTACATATATTGAAATAAAAACCCTAAAATTGTTTTTTTATAATTTTAGTGGTTTGGGGCCATCTGTAAAGGACGTCACCATTTTTTTAGCCAATTTTCGAAAAATCAAGAAAACTATTTATCTAATTTAAAAAATTCATTTTTTATTACAAACTTAAAGGAACTTAATGATTTTACAGTATTTAAATTTTTTGTTTTTTGAGAAGTGTTCCATAGTTTTGGTCCACGGTATGATATTCCATATTCAGAATACTTACTATTAATTCTTGGTAATTTATAAGTATTCTACTGGTTTATTCTAAGAGAATATTTTTTGTTTACATTTATTGTAAATTTATCATTAAAGTTTTTTGGAATCAAGCTGTTGTTACATTTATACATAAAAATTAGGTGTTGGTAAATGTTGATTTCATATATATTCATCATTTTCATGTCTTCCATTAATGGTTTTGCATGTTCATATTTTTTTTATATATAAGTCTGCATGCATGTTTTTGTAAAGAAAATATTTTTTTAAGTTTTGTTGGTTGAGTACTAGCCCATGTGATATTGGCTTAGTATATGAAACAATGTATTAGGCCAAAATATACTAATTTCAGACTTTCTGATGTTACATATGGACAAATACGGTACATTAGACCAATTGTTTTACTAATTTTTAATTGAATATAATTAATATGGGGAAGCCATGATAAATTTTCATCAATAAGAATTCCCAAGAATTTTATTGAATCATTTTTACTAATTAGTACATCATTTAAAATCAAATCAGGTAATTTTAAAGGAAGTAATTTTTCATCTTGTGATTTTTTATGTAATAAAGTATATTTTGTTTTATCTACATTGAGTGAAAGTTTATTTGCCTTAAACCATTCATCTGCATTCATTAGTTCAGAGTTCATGTCAGAATACAGTTGATTAATGTCACAGTTTGAAAGGAAGAGATTTGTGTCGTCAGCAAACATTATTGAGTTAAGCTTGAGGCATTATTAAAATCATTTACATAAATCAAGATATTCTCATACATTATCTTCTCAAAAACACATGATTACGTAGTTTTCCATGTTAATTAAACTAAAATAAAAAATCTATAAAGTGGCGTCCTTTTTTGACAACCTCCCCCTCCCCTTGTCCTTTTTTGTCCTTTTTAACTCGACCCCTCCCCCCTATTTGGATGACGTCCTTTATGGATGCCCTTTTAGTACCACCTTAAATTTCAATTTTTAATCAAATTTCATCAAAATAGTTCAACCATTGAAACAAAATATAGCAGCAATTATATATGTTTTAAAAATAAGAATTAAAAGATTTAGAAACCTATTTAGGGCTCTATGGTGTATATAGTATTTATTTATAATATATTTGCAGAAATAGTTTTTCATTGTTAATTTTCTTCAGCAATATAAATTACAAATAAATCAAATTCAGTGAGCTAGTAAATAATAAACAATAAAAACTGAGAATTTTCATAGCACTTGGTTCAGGTGAATTGACATTTTCACAAAAAACATTAATTTAGAATAGCTGGAGATGATTTCAACATATGAATGAAAACAAACTTAAAAAAGTAAGCCATAGTGGCACAGAATTTCAGGCTGGGAACAAAATGTTGCTTGAAAATTATTAAGATTACTGAAAATATACAATATAAAAAAAATATGATTAAATATGTGATACAATAATTATACGATTATACGTTTTGTAACCAATTAATTAATTAGGGGTCATCCATAAATTACGTTGCACTTAAAGAGGGAGGAGGGGTAGACAATTTTGTGATGATTTGTTACGAGGGGGAGGGGGTCTCGATTTTGTGACTCAACTTTTTTCTTTTCTTTTTTTAGTTTTAAACCTAGTAATCAGATCAAACCAAAACCCTCAGTTGATGTATCTACATGTTGATTGTAAAATCAACACCGCCTAAATCTAACTTAGTCGATGTGCACACTCTGTTAACAGCCTGAAAACAGACTGTTACATTTATGTAAGACGTTACAGTCAATTGTAACAGTCTAAGCGCAGTGCACGTTCTGCGCTTTAACTTTATATGGTCCAAGGGCAGAAATTTATTTAGCTGGTGCATAAAAATGTGCAGCTACAAAAAAAAAAACCTTTATGTACTAACTAAAAAAAAAAAAAAATTTTGATACCGATAGGCAAACCTGGAACTTGGCTTACAAGCCTGAAGCGGAATCCACTCGGCCACGCTAACATTCCAAGTTGTAAGAAAATTATATTTATGAAATATTTTTTGTATTTATTACATATTATTATGTATTATATATTATATGTATAACATTTTATATTGCACGTAAACTACAACAACAACTGAAGAACTTTATGATAATTTGAATAAATTTTTGAGCTTGAAATTATTAGTTTGACCAAGTTATCAGTGACGGATTCAGGATTTTTTGGCGTTAATTTCCAGACATGGAGCAAACTCAAAACATTTGTATGTTTACACTTTCGTCAAATAATGACGCTTTGCAAAAAATTGCGATGATTGGAGACTGGGAACAAAAAATCCCTTTAACTTTATCCCCCACCCCACCCCAAACGTGAGGGATAATAAGTTGATAAAATAGCTTTTGTACTACTCTCAACTAGACTTATATTGTAGATATCAACAAGATATCAAGATATCAACAAGATATCAAGATATCAACAAGATATCAACAAGATATCAAGATATCAACAAGATATCAAGATATCAACAAGATATCAAGATATCAACAAGATATCAACAAGATATCAAGATATTAACAAGATATCAAGATATCAACAAGGTATCAAGATACCAACAAGATATCAAGATATCAACAAGATATCAAGATATCAACAAGATATCAAGATATCAACAAGATATCAAGATATCAACAAGATATCAAGATATCAACAAGATATCAAGATATAAACAAGATATCAAGATATCAACAAGATATCAACAAGATATCAACAAGATATCAACAAGATATCAACAAGATATCAACAAGATATCATCAAGATCTACATCGGATATTAGTTTAGTTCTTTTTTCTAAAAAAACACGAAAATAATTTTTTCAATATAGTTCCTATAGAAACAGCTCAATTTATACAAACTGTGCTCTTCATAGGCTTAACAGACTTTTCCTGATCTTTCAAGACTTTTTCTGACCTTTTTAGACATTTCCTGATCTAATAAGACTGTGCTTTTGGTATAAAAACTAAAAAATAGTTTGGGTAACATTTAGAAAATATTAACAGTAATTATTTACTAATTAAAAGAAAAAGTTTAGACTTGTAGGCAGTAACAATAATGCAATACTCAATTATAAAAACACTAATAATATTATACTTATTAACACTTATAATATTATAATTAAAATGTTAAGGCTTAATAATAAGGTTGCTAAAGTTAACCATATTAGTAAACCTATTTTATTAGTATAGTCAGCCTACAACCCAGTGGGCACCGGACCAAAAAAAGACGTCTTTTGAGCGTTCAAAAGACGTCCAAAACGTTCAAAAGACGTTCAAAAGACGTCCAAAACGTATATAAGACGTTTATAAGACGTCTTTTTAACGTTCGTGCCCACTGGGAAATGGGAAAAGAATCAAGAGAAACTTTTCAATCAATATCTGTTTTTAATTTAGACTTCCAAGAGTTAGAAAATAAAGATCTCGTTTTGAAAAAAAAAAGGAAAAATAAAATTTAATGTAAAGATGATAGTCGTAAATGATGGATAAAAAAGCAGCCAATCTTTACTTAGCAGTTGGAAGTGTTCTGATCTGTGCACATGCTCAGAAGATTAATGTTTGGATATTGAAAGAATTGAAAACTTTTGTAATCAATCAAGGCATTATAACTATGAACGAAATATTTAACCAAGAACATTGTTTTTAACTTAAAAACTTGCAACAAAGAATTTTATTAATTTGAAGTTTGTAAAAATAAATTTAAAAAAGTGTAAAAACAAAAACTTTGTATTAAAGATTTATTTGTTATTACTTTTAAAAGCAATTAAATTTATGGCTTTCCTGGAAGGATTGAAAAGAACTAAGGTATCTAATTTTTTTAAATATTGTTAATTGTCATATTCCCTTGTATTTATCATTTATTACGTAACCAATAGCAAGCAGATCGTAGTATGACACCCGGAAGCATTTATCAAACAACAACAACAAAAAAATGATTATCTATATATTCAGCTAATGTTGTTTCATGGGTTCAAATTTGTTAAATGTAGTTAAATGGGTTTAAATTTTTGATTAAAAATGTGGAGTTTTATAAGTTTGTTTGTTTGTTTTTTTACCGTTTTGCTAAATAGTAAAGTTGCAGGTGAGTGAATTTTTCTTTTTTGAATAATAAGTTTAGTTTCGTACTATTTATCTTATCTCAGAGAATTTTTTATTTTTCCAAAATTTTATCTGCGTGGTCTTAGGTTAATCCTTCTTGGGCTTTTTTACACAAGCTGTAAATTTTTATCTTTAATATAGTCTAAAACAAGACTTTTAATAATGATAGCCAAAGCGAACTTGAAATTTTATTATATATTTTTTTAATAAGAGTATGATATAAATTCAAAAAATAATTTATTGAAATGGTTTCAAATCGATCTTATGTAACTTTGAGAAAATGTCATATCGCCGTTACGTAAAAAGTACACGCGATAAGCAATAAAAAATGTACATTTTAATAACTTTGTAATATATTAATATATTCATAAGGATATTATCTAAATTCTAATTTAGATCGGATATTATGAGTTGTTATCAGATTAGCTGATGTTGTATGTTAGTTAAATATTTTAAGTTATGATGCGAAGTTATATTTTATGTTTTTGTAAAAAATTCTTTTAAAACGTTATAATTATTTAAATATGCGTAAAAATCTGTAATAAATATTTTTATTGTACCTTGTTTTATTTATTTAATTATCAAAACATAGTTTTATGGCTTGAAAAATTTTTTGAATTTATAATTTTAACTGATATTGTTTTAATGCTTCAAATTTAGAATCGTTACATTGGTCTAAGTATCAGCGTAGTTAAGGATCTACTCAGCGTAGTTAAGTATCTACTCAGCGTAGTTAAGGAGAGATCTAAAAAAAATATTGCGTTTAGGCTCTTTCGTTTTCAAAAAATACCCACCTCTTTTTTGCGCGTTGGTTCATTTTTTTAAAAAAATTTATGAAACTCATTGTTTTATTTGATTTATAAATGTTTGGTGATTTTAATTTTTACGAGTTTCAAGCTTTTACTAATTACTATAGGGCAAGAGTTATATAAAAGGTGAAACTTTTTTTTTTGTTATTAATTCAAACGACTATAAAGAGAAGTAAATTGTCTGAAGTGAAAACTAATGAGAAAGTTTCGATTTTAACGTTTTTACTGTTTATGGGAAAGGTAATGAGGTTTAGAGCTTAAATAAAAGGTAAAGGTATGAGGTTTAGAGCTTAAATATTTTTTGAATATTTTAATGCTGGAAACGAAGAGACTTTTTACTTTTGAATAAAAGAGACATTTTTAGATTGCAAATATTTAACACATTTTTTATAAAAGCTGCCCTGTCGCGTTTTATGTATTATAGTGATATTATAGTTTTATTTTGTTTAATAATTGGATTTAAAAGATTTATAAAAAAATAATTAGTTATAAAAGAAGAACTTAAATTCTACTTTTTAAAAATACATAACAGTTATAGTCAAAAAACAACGGAAAACACAAAAAATTGAAGCTTAAAAATATATATTTTAGATTCAGAAAAATATATTTTTTAAAACATATTTTTCCTTAACTACGCTGAGTACATTTTGATGACATCGGATTTTTTAAGGCAGACAAAAATAAGAAAATGTTTCAGCCGCCAAAAAGTTAAACGAGACCATCTCCTTAACAGCTTTGATAAACTGACTTCAAAGCTGTTTTGCTTAGAGTTAAGCATTTTGTTTACCAAAAACTTTATTTTATAATTGATTTGTTGCATTCTTGATTACTATTACGCTCTGAAATTTTGCTCTGCCACGTTGGCTTTCCATATTTGATGAGAATTTGATTTATCAATTGGCCTCTTCTTTATTATGTAAAATATCAATTTTATTCAATTAAGTTGTTTAATAAACAGGAGGTGTTTTATTATCATAATGCTTTTTTGTTAAATTATATCAAACTTGATCAGATAGCAAGTTTGTAAAAAGTAAAGACTTCTAAAAAAGGGCCTCATAAAGGGACCGTGTTTTTAGACTTTAAAAAAGAATGCATATAAGAAACATAAAGCGTAAATCAAAGGTTTACTGCAAAAAAACTCTTTTTAACATTGAATCCGTATATAAAATCCGTATATAAAATCCGTATATAAAACCCGTATATAAAATCCGTATATAAAATCAGTATATAAAACTTAACAAAAAGTACTTAACTACTTAAAGACTATATTTTGATTTAAAGAAAAAATCTTTATATTGGTTTAGAGTTAACATGTATATTTCTGTGCATAATTTTGTATAATTTAGTGTAGATGAAATTAGAAAAGCAAATGCATGAAACATTTCTAAAAAAATTCTTAGAAACGCACAAACACTAATATGGTTAACTTTAGAAAAGCAAAGCAACACACAATATTTTGCGGCACATCAATGGTAATTACATTTTTAGATATCATTACATCTGTTTTTACATATGAATGTCTGTTATTTGGATCCTCAATCTCTGTTATTAGGGCGTAAACTAATTAAGTTGAGAAACTCAAATCAAGTTTAACACGATTTTAGTGGGTGTATTAATTATGCAAACCTTGTCAACGTCTTTTGTATAAACATTTAAATGTTTAAAATTTGCTTCTTAAAATCCGCAAAAAGTTATTTAGGTTTTCTAAAAAATTGTTTCCAGACAAACATAAACTCAAACTTTTTATGTCAAAAAAGGTTTTAAAAATGCATATTTCAGTCTTTGGAAGAAACCTACTCCTGACATTAACCCTAGCAACCTCTACCTAAGATAACGACATCTACAGCTCTATGAAGACAAAAATAAAAAAAACTTCAACTTCTTGTTGCATTTCAGATTCAATCAAAATTTATTGTCGTCAAGACAATAGTTATTGTCGTCAAAACAATAGTTATTGTTGTCAAGACAATAGTTATGACAATCTAAAGTTTATGATTCCCTATTAACTCGAATGAAAAACTTCAAATATCCATTACTTTGAATAGAAAATGTTTTTAAAATGATATTAGAAATTTTTGCTCAGCTCTAAAATATAAAATTTATCTTTGAAAAGACTTTTAGTGATCTTATTGCAAGGTGAGTGCAGAGGTTGGGGTTTGTAGCAAATATATACAAGACATTACCACCTGACAATTTTAAACAGCTCTCATTAGCTGAAACTAAATAAAAAAAAGTAAGTTAAAATTGAATTACTAAACTCGTAATTAACGTTATTAAGATAAATAAATAAAATTATTCGTAATTAAACGTAATTTAGATAAATAAATAAAAACTTATAACAATAATTCAAAAAATTCGATTAAATTTGTTTTTTTACTTATATATTGATTTTTTTTTTTTTAGTGAAAAAAAATAAAATTTAGAAAATTAATTCGAGATCATTTGTGAAAATGTGCCCGATTTTTCATGGTTTTAATGAACCATTTAGGAAGCTCAAAAGAAATTGGTATATGCTGTAAAAAGAAATTGTAAAAAGAAATTCTGGAATATGTTGTAGAATATAAACAATATGTTAAAAAACCTTTCATCGCCATTTTTCCTAAAATAGAAATCTTTGATTTTAAAAGGATTGATGGTATCACAGATAATAAAAAAAAAAAAAAAATGAATAGCAGATTTGCCAACACAGTATATTGTGTCAGTCTTATTGTGAAGAATTAAAGCTATTTCCCTTTAGATTGAAAATTAATCAAAAGACAGAGGTGCAAATGGCTTAATTTGTCTAAATTAAAATTAAAAATGTAAAATATCTTATTAAAAACAAAACATCTATATCTTCTGGTGAATCTTTTTTGAAGATATTTGTATTTTCAAGATCTTTGTTGAAAAACAAAATATCTATATCTCCTGCTGCGTCTTTTCAAGATCTTTTTTTTTGGTGTTTCTAGTTGGCAAAAAAAAGCATACACCCCCATGGAAGACCTCTTCGAGACGGCTCTGCTTCTGCTGCGTCTTTTCAAAATCTTTGTTGAAAAATGAAGAAACAAAGAGAACAAGCAGAATGTTACTTTCAATGAAATTAAAGTTGACTTGATAAATAGTTTCTGATTGTCACGCATTATTTTATTTTTTTTTTTTAAATAAAAAATACCTCTTAAAATTGAATTAAAAAACCGATTAAAGCATAGCTACAATTATATTAATTAATACAGTATGCTAGAGCTTTCCACAAAAGAAATATACTCTTCCTTGATCCTTAAGTATCGTACACACAGCAATCAAGGAATTTTAGAGATATCTACTCTTCTCAAACACTTGATTACGAAAATGCCTGTTTTGTCTTATCTTAGCTGGTTGCTTTTAAGTATAGTTTTTTGCATTTAGTGGTTTTGATTAAATTTTATCGACAGTTTGAAATTTTCTCCCGCTTCATCAGCATCAACTTACATTTTGTCAGCATCTTTTTTCATTTTGCTAACATCATCTTTATGTGCCTTAGCGTCATATTGAATTCATCTTAAATCTTAAATTTGCCTCCCGATTCATAAGTATCTACTTCATAAGTAGTTTCAGCCTCGCTTATCGTTTAATCTGTTTCATCTGCCATTACGTTAGTTTTATCTACATTTTCAATACCGACCAGATCAGCTTTAGTATTTAGTTCGTCTTTACCCTCTATAAAATTTTCATCTTGATTCTTTATTACATTGTTATGATCTCATAATTCATTTTCTGAATTATTCTCTGCATGTTCTCTTGTTATTTTCTCTTGTTATAATATGATATTTATTTCCTGAACTATTTTTAAATACGTTAATAAAACGTTAGAACAATGTTGCGCGTTGCATTGGCCCAAAATCGACCACAAACGTTGTTTTTATATAATTTCGGTTAAATGCGACGTCGCCAACAACCAAAAAATAACGTTGGCCTAACGTTATAATTTAAGTCAGTATTGTGTAATATTTTACATTGATTCAACGTTGAATTTTAGGTTGGCCCAAAGTTTTATTTTACATTGTTGAAGCGTTGAATTTTAATTTGATTAAATTGAGAATTACTTGCTCTGTATTCAACACTAGAATGCTCAGACTTTGGCACTGTCTTGCATGCCTAAAGATAGTCAATCAGACTAACATTATCTAACATTCTATTCTATGCTTAAAGTAATCAA